ACGAGGTTTACCGCCGCCGGCTCTTCCCGGTTGTTCCCGGGGGCCCCGGACGATTCCACTGATTGCAAGAAGAATCCTGGAGAAAAAGCCCTGTTGTCACCAGAGTGTCGGTCGTCTGAGAGAGGGGGAATCCATGGAAGTGCTGCCCTTATGGAAGTGCTTCAATTCCCTTGGAATTGAAAACCGAGGAAAACCAGAGATAATGCTGTGCTTTAAGTTATTGATGTAGGTACAAAATGGGACAGCTCATGCTCTTTGACAGCCCTCCAGAAAGGAGTAGGGAGGCTGTCTTTACTGGGAAATATAATCTATCTGGGATCAGAAAAGGTGAAAATAGTACAGTCTTAAAATAGCACGTGGAAGGGCTTTTTGTCAAGCAGGACTTAGGGCTGTCCAGCTGCTGCAACTATATTTTTTACTTTATCATATTTGGACTTTCTGAGTGTGTCCTCAGCTCTCTTCTTCCTACACACGTAGCACGTTGTTTTGGTTTGCTTGCCATGTTGGGGATTTTATCTTTCAATTACTCTTACCTACTCTCAGTTTTTGCTCTGTCCTCACTCAGATTTTTACCTTCAAATGTTTCATGTAAATGCTGATATTACCCATGGTAACTTTATAGCCAGGAATAGCCATTAAATTGACCATACCCCTCCACAAATGCACTATATTCACTCCCTGATAGGTGTGTGGTCCTAGTACATTCCTATATTATCATCTCTTTCCCTACACTGGACTAAACATCCTTTCTTCACTGGTTGTGCCAGGTCTGAGCAATGGATCACTGGGACTAGCTTCCGCAAGTTGCAGAGCTCGTTGGTCAGCCGGAGCATAGCTGCAGCTGCAAACTGCTCTGTTGGTGCAAAATCTGAACAGATAGAGCAGTAAGTCTTCAGAGTGCTCCAGGATCGCTGGAGCAGTTGGCATAAACAACTCCAGGACCTCATAGTCCAATAGCTACAGCAAGAAACCAGGAGGGATAAGATTGCTGAACTCCATCCTTCAGAGAAAAGCTGCCGTGCCTCCTGCTGCTGAGCTTGTGTTCCTTCTGGTACCTGTGCTCCTTCTCTCTGTGGAGGGCTGAATCCCTGCACTCCATAAGGCCTTGTACCAGCTGGTGCATTAAGAGAGGACTTAGTATCATGCACCAGGGAAGAACCTAGGGGCAGAGAGGAATATGTGTTAAAGTTGCAGACCTTTGTCCCAAGAGGTGATGCAAAAAAATTTAAATTTTGCCTGGCTTGTCTTTACTGAGCCCGTCTTAGCTTTATTAGCTCTGGTTCAGGTCACTTAGGAGGGGTCTTTCAGAGCACTCTTGTTATCCTTCCAAAGCTCAGTAAAATGTTTTATTACCTGCCATGGCAGAGCAAGGGGCTGTGAGGAAGAGTGTAAGGCTGCAGGAGGGTCTGGCATGACAGACTTTGACTTCTAGACATTTAAATCTGGTACCGTTCAACTCCTTGACATACTGAACTTGAGAGAACATCAAAGTAATACAGATTTTAGAGAAGGTTATAACACTGTCCTTCAGCATGAGGGTTTCAGTGAGTTTTAATCCTTTGATAAGAGACTGCCTACATTGAATAGATGAGGCTCAGAACAAAAGGAAGCTCAGAGAGAGCTGAAAGAATTGGAGTCCTGCTCTGGGCACTCAAGATTGGGCATTTTTATTGGTAGGAGTGAGGCATGTAAGAGGCAAGCAAGAAACTTTTAACGATTTGGAATAATGTCAAGGGAGATGCTGTTTTCGTTTAATACCTTCCAAAGTGAAATGTCCTGCATAATGTATTCCACTATGTCCCAAGACAGTTCTATATGTTCAGTATATTGGACTGTGCTATGCAAAAGCTTATGAGACAGTTCTGAGTTCCCTCATACCCTGCCAGGACCAAGGCAGGCCCAGCACTTGCCCTTTGGGTGTTTCCCTGTCAGGAATCAAGAGGGTTACACCTGGAGTCCTGTGTAAGGCCTCATGCCATGGGTATGGTTCCCCTTTGTAGCCAGGTCTCAACGCCTCATTTGAGCCACTCTGCAGCCTGGCTCAGTGGAAGTTCTCTGGTTTGTTTCTTGGGTCTTGTGTTGATCAGAAGAGTGTGTGTGTGTGTGTGTGTGTGTGTGGTGTCTGTTACCCCATAGAACAATACTCCCCAACAGGAACAATCCTACTTTTGCACAGTCATGCTACCGCTGCCTCCTGTGACCCTGGGGCTGGGAGGTGTAAAGCACTCTGGGAGAGCAGCAGAGCCTGCTCATAGCCTGGGTACAAGTGTGACGTGCTGGGCGATGCTCGGGTGAGAACCGAGCATTGAATGTCTCCAGGACTCTGTGCAGTCAGTGATGTCTGTACAGGCAGCAGGAAACACTTTTCAGAATCATTGTTACTGTGATAAGTAGCTTGTTCTGCATCATGTTTTGGAGCTGGTTACTATGTGTTTCTGGATGTTCACAGCTAATTTCCTATTCGTTTTGAAAGAAGAAAGAAAAAAAGTGGGGAGAGGTTTTGCTGCTTTATGAAGAAGCAAATGTGTGTTACTCCCTGTATGCCTGTGACTGAATGCAGAAACAGACGGTGCCAGGGCTACATGTTGAAAGCAAAGCACCAGCTGCCTGAAAGGTGGGATTAAGGAACGTCATTCTGTGGTGTGTTCACTGTAATTACTAAAGAAATGCAATTTATGAGAAGTTTTTGGAGGACATTGTTTGGCTGGGGCTCACCTGATAGATTTGCAGGCATCCTTCAGCCAGTGGCAGAAATCTGAATTAAGAGTGTTTTCAGCCATTCCCTAATGAGTTCCTCTTTCTTTGTGGCACTTTAATGAACTCCAGGTTGTAGTTACCTCCCTCTTCTTTCTCTCCTGATGCTTCTAATTTCAGATAAATATTTGAGATTAGAAGTGGCTCTGGGTATGAAATGTGACCCTTCACCTCCATGCAACTTTCTGATTATGCCATGCCATTAATAACCAGAGCACCTCTAATCCTGCAACTTGGAAGTGTTCAGCTCAAATTACATTGGTATCTTTTTAACAGGAGCAACATTTCTTTAAGAGATGTGTCACTTCCAAATACAAAATAGGAAACAGCTGCCTGCTTCAGACATCAAATAGGAGCTACCCCCACCCAGAAATGAGACCAGTGTTTTGGGCTTTGTAACCCAAAATGCTTCTTTTAAAATGGAATGGCTGCTCTGCCTGAGCAGCAGGATAATCACTGCAGTTAACAGAGCCATCTTAATTGCTTCTTCTCCTTCATACCTTCTGTAAAGGTATTAATTAGTGGAAGAACAGGATATCTTCATTATGTGTGAGATGCTAAAAGAGCTTTGGATCTCTGCCCTATTTTAAAGACTAAGAAGGACTTGAACATTGTAGATATTTGTTGCACCCTTTTTTAGGCAAAAGTGTGTCAACTTTCAGAACAATCTTGCCCTTAAGTCTTCATGTATTTTACAGCAAAAGGCAATTGAAAAGATGGGGAATTATGTAATATATCCTGAACACTTTATAAGTGCTATGGCAATGATACTGCCCAATGGAATGGAAAGAACAAACATAAAGATATTTTAAAGCATTGTTTTAAACGTTATAGACCTGGGCATCCTTTATTATTATTGCTACATCTCACTGAACAGTTACAGTGAATCCACATATATAAGAAAAGAGATGTCTCTTCGTCATTAAAATTCCCATCCACTCTCCTTCTCCTTTCTCCCACCCTGGTGATATGGTAAAAACAAGTGTTCTCTTACAAAAGCATCTTTCCTTAAAAGGATCTTTTTCCTTTATAAGCCAAGCAAAGCAGACATTTTTGTGGGTGCTGGGGGTAGCAGTGAGGACTTAAGCTTAACATATATGATAAATATAGAAGTAGAGAAAGTATTTGGCATGTGGTTACAACTTAGGCTAAATAAATTCCAGTGGTTACTCAAACTAAAAAGTTGGGGTTTTTTTATGATAGCAAACAAAACAGACTGTCATTGAATCTGAGAGTGCCTTTGACTGAAGAAGGCCTTGCTGAGACTGAAGGAGAAGTCCATAAATGAAATAAAGTCTCTGGGAAATTTTGTATTGTAATATGTATGATTATTTCTGTTCCTTGGCTGTAGCCATCTCACCTAACCAGCTGACTCTGCAGCAGCACTGGCCATGAGGTTTCCAACCAACTTTTTTATCCTTTTTTTTGGCGAGAAGAAATGGCTTTCAAGGGCAGCAGGATGCTGTGGTTGGTCTGACCAGCGATGCCCTGATTGTTACACTGCCTGGACACTCCCGTGGCGCTGGGAACGCGGCAGGACGCTCCCCTCTGACATGCGGGGTTCGCCAGGGCTGTTATTTGGCCCAAGAGAACCTTCCTTGTAGGCGCAGGGATCTTCGGTATCCCTGCTCGGGAGAGAGCCAGGAATCCGTCAGCCCAAGGGAGTTCTGGCCACCAGCGGTGCCCGGGCCGGCGCTGCCCGCGGTACTGGCAGGGCCGATGCGCTCGGTCCGGGGTCACCCCTTACGCTGCCGGGGGGGTGTCCCGGTACGACGCGGAAACGTTTTATTTCCTCGGAGCAGGTGACTGATCCCGACATTGGAAACCCAAGGGGCGCGCATCGGGCGCCTCGCACGGCGGACGTGCGGCGCGCTCCCCTCGGCCGCTCCGCGGAGCTGCGGGCCCGGCCCGGAGCCGCCCCACAGGCCAGCGGGCAGGGGGGGTCCGCCCCCGCCTTCGCCGGGGAGCGGCCGAGCCGCCCGCGCTGCGCCTCAGGGGCGCTGCTGCCCGCGCCTCGCGCTCCGGGAACCGCGCCCGTGCGGGCGGACAGCTCGCTCCGGCCCGGCTCCGCCAGACCGGGACTCGCGGGACAGCTTAGCACCGGCGGGGCGGTTCCCCCGCTCCGTCCCTCGGGCGCGGCCGGGCGCGGCGGGGCGGGCCCGCAGCAGGGCGGGCCCGGGCCGGCTCCGCCGGCGCGCGGGTCGGGCTGGCGGCAGATGGCGGAGCGGTGGGGGGGCGACCGCGGTGGTCGGTGCTGGCGCCCAGCGGGCGGCGGTCACGGTGCGGGTGGGGCCCGGAACGGTCTGCTCCAGGTGGGTCACAGGGGAGTGTGGGGCGGCGGGGCGCGGGCCGGCCGTGGAACGCTCTGTTTCTCGCAGGTCTCGAGGAGGTCTGCAGAAAAACGGGCCCCGGGGGCCCCAAAGGTTCCCGGCCCGGAAAAAAGGTTAAGGGCCCCCCTGAAGTGAGTCCCTGCGGAGCCGGGCCGGGCCCCGGCTGCCGCGGCCCTGGAGAGGCCCGCCCGCAGGGCGGCTGGGCTGCCGGAAGTCCGCGCCGCCGGGGGGTGCCCGGGCCGGCGGACCCGCGGGCGGGCGTGGCGTGCTGGCGGGCCGGGCCAACACTGAGGGTCAGGTCAGGCTCCCGATGGCCCGTGCACGTTCCGCCTGGGGGCGGCGAGGCCCGTGTCACTTGCGCGGAAACGGCCCACGCGCGAACCTCACCCAGGTCACACAGTGGCAGCACCCGTCTCCCCTCTTACCTGGGGCTTTGACCCTCTGCCTTTATGGTGTCGTAATCGAGAGGCCATTTCTCTGAGTGGCACTAAAACAAGAGTATCTTGGTATTTAACCAGGCTTGGTTATGTAGTCAGTTGTTATTTATCTCTTCAAAGCCTAAGAAAAAACATACATTTGAGTATTTTCCCTGTGACCTCTACAAACTGCAGAATAGCTTTTGTTGACGATTGTTTTCTGATTTACCAGTTGTCCATTGTTGAATCGTGTTCCATGGCTTCTAGTCAGCCTCTGGGGAATTCTGTTGCTCAATACCTGGACTTTGTATTGTTCAAAGACTATGTTCTCCTTCAGGTTTCAGAGGAGTGTCTTGGACCTGTCGTTGCAGTGGAGGTTTGCCAGGCTGCCCAACAATGCCAAGCTGGAGATGGTGCCAGTCACTAACAGAGCAGAAGCTGGAACCACGGTATGTTTGTTTACGCAGTGTGACCTGATTTGTTGAGTTACCAGTTCTGCTGATATGACCCCATCCTATCTGATGAGCAAGAGCACAGCTCAGTGTGGCCAGTGCCTGTGCAGGAGACCAGCTGAAGACAGGTTGAAGTGCAGTGGCAAGTGGTGATTTAGTAGTTGAAAGTCTTTGCTTATGTTCTGCATGAGCATGTGGTGCCAACTGTGTGTTGGAGGAGAACGGGTTCATTTGGGGAGCTGAAAGACTAGTAGTCGTGGATGCCTGGGAACTTAAGCATCACTGATGATTAACTCAGTTCCCTTTCCTAATTTCAGTTTCAGTTGCTGTTGTCTGCCTCTGGATTTTGAATTCTCTTTTGCTGCTTTCCCAGCATTGCTGGTCATGGTGTGTTCACACAGCTTTAGAGTCTTTTGTTACATGTGCTGTCCCCAGCAGTGGCCAAATGTCCCTATTTAGTATGATTTGAAAAGGGCTTATGGATGCTGTGTTCTCTAGGAATTATTGCCACATTTAGGAGTGTAAAAATCTATACGTGTCACTGTAGTGGCTGGAGGCATAACTGTTAAAGTGACGCATAGGTGTTAATGTGTGTGAACTTTTTATGTCATAAAAGTGATGTATGGTCTTATTTAAGTAGCCTAGGAATGAAAATTTGTCTATTTCTGACAGTCATTGCTGACAGTCATCGCTCTTCTTTCTGACTTCCTCAGGGGGAGTTTCTCAATTTTTATGAAAGTTTCAGGTCTATTGGTTTTGATCTCTTAATGTCTGTCAGCCAAGCTGACAAATTAGTGGTGTTTGTTGTAGGCAGTTGCTCTTGCTGTCACAGAGAGAAACTGATATGTTGAAATGTGAACTTTGTGTTGTGAGGCGGCTTTGGAATCTCTGCTCTAGTTCACTGTGGGTGTGCAATGTACTTTTAGGGGTCACTGATGTTGATGTTTTTCTCTGTAAAACCTCCATGTTCTTTGTTTTGGCACTAATGCCTTCTTTCTGACTTTGCGGTAGAAAGAAGTTTGTGCTTCAAATGACGTCTTTAGTTAAAAAAATACCACAAACTGGGAGCATCTGCTTAAAATTTTCAGTGAAAGATTGTGATGGAATGGAGTTTGTCGTCCAGAGGAAAGTGTTTCTGTTGAAATGGTGCAGTGATGACTTTATCTGACATTTGTGTCCAGTTGGGAGGTTGAGAGGTACTGAAGGAAAACAGTGATTTTATTTTTTCCCCCCAAAGTTATATTATGAGAAAGGGTAAGAAGGACTGTGCACTGTAGGAGAGAGGTTATAGCATGGAATCACTAGTTTAGATCCCAAAAGAGAAGAGCTAAAAGAAGTGTAAGTTGTTACTATTTGGTTGTAGTTCAGCAGAAGAATCTACAGAAGTGAGTCTTCTCTCAGAGTGCTCATTGCTTTGTCCTGGGGGTGAGAGGATGCAGCAAATGCGTGCGTGAAGGGTGGAGCCTGAACAGAGTCACTGTCCCACAAATTTGAGCAGAGATTCCACTTGGGAGAATTTCACAGTGTAAGAAAAGACTTGGTACAGAACAATTGACTAAAAGAATTCCCTGTCACAGGGAGCATGTGCAAAGACTAAGGAGTTTAAAACAGGCAGGTGGCTGTGACTGGGCTGTGGTGTCAGTTGAGATGCAGAGTTGGTCATTTTGGCTGGCTGCAGTAATGTTGGGATGAATCTGATTCTGTGTCTTCTATTATTCTATCTTCTGTTAAGATAATGTGGGTGGAAGTAGGTGTGCTTCCCTCTGGTGACAGCAGTTACCCTGGAAACAGAATACACGTTTCGATAAGTTATGAGTTTGTTCAGCAAATTTGATATTTTAAAAATAGAAAGCTTTTGGATTTGCCTTTGCACGTAGAAAACATTGTTTCCCTTTGCATGTAGAAAACATTGTTTCCCATAAGACAGTTCTTTAGTGAAAAATGGAACAATTTCCACTTGTGATGGCAGGTGACCATGAGTTCAGCTCTTGTGTTAAAGTTGTCAGCCTTTTGTTTAAATGTTTGTAAACTTAGATGGTAATTGTCACTGGTCTCTATTATTTTAAGTAGTGCTTGGGGTCTTTAAAGAGACTTTTCTAATTGACTGAATAGAACTTTCGTGCCATGTTTAGCTTTGAACTGTCGCTCAACAACTGATGCAACTGGTAGTCAGAGTTTCTGGGCTGGATTCTTACAGAATGGTGATGTCAGCTGTCATCACTCTGCTGTTGCTGAGAATAATCTAAGGCTTGTCTCCCACGTAGGAGAAACCAGGAGGTTGTGTTAGTGGTGGGATGAAACGACATTGTTCTGTTGGCTCGTTGTTAATGATGCCACTGTTTCCTTTATGTAGAAAAATTCCTGTCTCCAGCAGATCAACATTTGCAGTCCTGTGAGGACGTGTGGGAGCTGAGGCAGATGACAAACATATTCCTCCGCGGAAATCACAGTCGATTGCTGGAGTGTGTGGTGTCTGTTTTCCCATCTCCCTCTCTTTCTCTCCCCCTCTGCCCTCCTGCTTGCACACACATCTTGCACTCACAGTGAAGCTGACTAAAAGTGTTGGTAGGGACATGTGAAAACACAGAATGAAAGAAAGTGTCTTTGGCTGTCCTGGGCTAATGTCTTTCTCAGGCTTTGGAATAAGGCCAGTTTCTGTGGACTTCAGAAAACTGTAGTTGACTGGAGAAACCAGGTTCCATCTAGTGGCTGTGGGTTTTTTTAGGATTTTTCTTTAGGCAAGTGAGCTAATTGGGAAAACCTAAGAGTTAGACATTCTGGAGAAGGCTTAATATTCTCTAAAAGGTAAAAAAACCCCAAAACACGAACACCTGAAGTGCACTGCCATTCTCCATCTCTTGGTCAGCTGCTAGACTTTTCTCTTGAGATGGTCAGGAGTTTAAGTTCTTCAGGACTGAGCCCAGCATGTGTTCATTTTAGAAATACTTTGGATTTTTTTTTTTTTGAGAGAAGTGGGGAAGCAGTTCTCTGAAGTGTGTGTAGCACGAGCTAATGAACATGGATGTTCACATTCCAGGTTGGAGAAAGCCTGTTAAAATAGGCAGCTAGCTGGCCCTTGCCTTTTTCTGTGGGTGTTCAAGAACTTGATAACTGAACATCCAGAATTATTTTTAAGATTTTTTTGCTACTTCACTCTCGTATTGCATGTCAAAATTTGGTGATTAGAAAGCATCAGTGAGTTGCAAATGTTGTTTTGTTGGACTGGTAATGGTTGTTTAGGTCTTCAGGAATGCAGGGATCAATGGGGACTGTATTCTTGCTTTCTCTGTGTGGATGTGCAAGTACTCTGCTTGTTTTGCCCCAGGGAAGTTGTTCTGCAAACTGATGCTGAAGTGGACAGAGCTCTGTGTTGGTATTTTAAGTTGTGCAGCTGCATCAGTCCTTTCTGCCTTACTGGTATTTGTTTTATGTAGGTGTGAAGATCCTTTCTGTAAAGTTTCATCCGGTGTAAAACAGTACATCTTAGTTGCTCATCATGACACATTATTTGGGATGTTTGCACTGGCTTTTCTCTGAACATGTTCCAGTTCAAGATATGACAGGGAAGAGGGGCCCCTGAAAGCTGGTTAGTTTTCCAGGATGGCCTCCCCCATGCTCAGGAGAAGTCCATCCCAACAAACTGGAATTCAGGCCAGAATGCCTGCACATATGGACAAGGAGCACTGAAATACTTTAAAAAGTTGTGAAGAAAAAAAAGTTTTCATTCAATTTTCAGATGAATTCACTGTGTTTTTCCAATAGGTTCGGATAGCATTACAACTAGATGATGGCTCCCGTTTGCAAGACACCTTCCTCTGCCAACAGACTCTGTGGGAACTTCTCAATCATTTTGCAAAAATCAGGTGAGCAATGCAGTGAGAAAATTCTTGTTTGGATGGATCTCTGCATGGCAGTAGTTACTTGTTATGGTGATCCAGCTGAATCCTTCAGATTTGTAGAGTTTGCGTTATTTGACTGTGGTTTCTCCTTTATTACAGATGTATTTGCCTTTTCCTTGCTCTTTCAGATTTGACACTCCGTAGTTTTATTATTATTTTTTAATCCTGCAGTAGCACTCCTGATTGAGGGCATAAACTTGTAACAAACTGCTAAAGCTGTGAAGCAGCTATACTAAACTGGGATATGTTGCCCCACCTGCCTTTTACACAAACATGTTTGAAGTCAAGTTACTGCCAGAGGTGAGGTGCCAGCCTGGATGATCTTGATCCCCAGTATTTCTGTGCTGCAGTTCCCTGTAGTGCAGGTGGTTCTTAAACGAGTTGCTGTTGCTTTTGAGGCTTGCTGTTGTGCAAGTTCTTCAGGGAAATCTGGAGCTCTCAGCAGGCTAATGTGGAATCTTCAAAAGACTGATTAGATCCTGCTTAAATGGAAGAATTTATGGTTCTACATTTATTGAGTATGTACATGGGTTAGAAATCTTATTATTTGAGTCCAGTCTACATTCAGTGTTATCTCTTGAGTTTTGAATTAAAAACACTGTATTGTTTTGAAATTGTTTTGAAAGACAGTTCTTTTCTCACGGCTTGGAAGATGAAGCCTTGAAGCTGTGGCGGCCATTCTATTTTTAATTGTTAGGGACTAGGTCTACACTGTGACTTATGAGTAGAAGTCAAAAGGAACCGTTTTCATGTAAATGCTAGAGAGAAAAGAATTCTTTTAATTGAGGAAGGAGGTAGGCCAGAAAGCCCAGATATGATTTTCCTAAGTGTTTTAAGTCCCCTCTTGTCCCTTACTGCATCCTTTGTGCCCTCTGGGAGGAGAGGAGTGCCTGTTGCAGTTTGGGGACTGCTAGACTGGTGGGGGTGTTAATAATTGACAGTGACAAATAGCCTTTGTGTGGCTTTCTCACACATTAGTTGACTATTTATTCGGTTTAAATTTTGAGCTTTTTATATAATTTTGCTCTTTTGAAGTGGTTTTATTGTTTACAGGTTATTGTAATACTACTACTTAATACACATGCTACTCTTAAGCTTCTAACTGCTGCACTGTGCTATGCATTCTTAACTAGTTCAGAACACAGCTGCTGTTTTCTGCCCTCTTGAAGCTGAGCTGAGATGTTTGGATGGGCTTTGCAAACTTTTGATTAAGTTCAACAAGCGGCAAAGGTGCTGTGTGTGACTTAGTCACAGAACAAGCTGGATCTACAGCCATCTTTATGGATTTCATGGGCTGAGCTGCTGTTCAGTGTGTTTGGATTCACGTAGACTAACTAGTCAGCTAATTGTTGATATTTGCTGAATCCTTCCTTGGACTTTCCAACTGGAGACATTTTCCTGGAATGCTCAGCTGCTCTAAGTGCGTGAGGGGAAGTATTCTAAATCCACTGGAATTTCCCCTGGGTTTCCAGCGTCCATCTCGGCTAATTGGATCTGAAGAAGGTCTGGAAGCTATTGTAGGGTTGCTCCTCCTCTCAGCGTGCGGCAGTCCTTGCACAAGATGTTTACAGGCCCTGTCAGATCACTACATGAAGGAATCTAATCTGCTTGCCGTTCCCCTTCTGAAGAGGAGCACATCAAAGAGAGGACAGTGTGTTTGATGTGTGTGCTTCCCCTCAGTGGGTGCATGTAATGGATTAGCAGCAGCTGGAGGAGGAGCTTCCAAGAGTTAGACAAAAACAAGTCTCTGGGGATCTTCGCCTGGAGTCTGTGCTGCAGGGGCCGGTTGAGTGCACAGCGTCGTCTGCTCTTTGAGCGTGAGGCCTGGGAGAGCTGCTGCCTTTCTGTCTCCCACTCTTGCCTGCCTGGCAGCTTCAGCAGCTTTGTGGGCTCTTGTACGTGGGAGTGATTGCACTCTGGACACTCAGAGACATCTTTGATAGTAATTGTGACTCTTCACTAATTCTGTGGTGTCATTCAGTAGGTTTAGATATTTTCCATACATTTTTAGAAGATGACTCAAAGAGTTGCTTGGATTGAAGTGGAAAGCAGTTTTTGGAAAAGTGAATGAAACTAGATTCTGTAAGTCAAACTGGCTTGCTCTCCTATGGGTCTTTGGTGAGGGCACGTTCCATTGTGCCTCAGGTTCTTTTCTCCTGAATGGTGATCATGCACCTTTCCTGATAGGCAGCTTGAGGTTCAAGCTTTTTTTCCTCTGGGCTGTTCTGTCTGCCATTTCTGTGATTCTGTACTGTTTCTCTGTGTTTCAGCAACCCTTTATCTTTTGTGCACTGTTATTGAGGATTCCTGTAGGAATACAGCTGATCCTAATTGGAAGCAAAACCCATTGGAATTGAGGTAGAGATGAGTATCTCTCCTGGATTGTCTGGAGAAATCTGAGCACAGTAGCTTGCTATGGTGTGCTAAAGGCCAGTCTCTTTGGTGATCTTTTGTTCCAATTTTCTAATAAAGACAAGTTTTTTTCTGCCTTTCATCGTCAGGCATTGGCCTTGGGAACTTACTCGGGTACTGCTGCCAGAGGAGAGAGGGAGGTTGGAGTCTGAGTCTTGAATCACAATATTATGCTCCTTTGTATGAGAAACTTAATCTCTTGATTCCTGCAGAGCATTGTATAGGGCTTTCTGTCCCTGACAGAGAATAACTAATTGTGGAACTACAAATGGAGGCAGACTATTCTGATGTTGGTTTGGTTGTTCACCTTGAGTTGGAGAGTTAACTGTATTTCATAGTCTGAAGCTTGAATATAGTAGTTTGGATGCACTGGTGTGTCTGTCTCCTTCTGCACAATAGGATTTGTTGTGGCTGGGAGAACTGTTCTGAAAGACTGGTGCCTTGGGACTATAAACTCTTTGGGATGTGTTGCAGCTGGTCTGGAAGTAGTTCTCAGCCCCTGACTTTCCTAAACTAGATCTGACCCTCAGGACTGGTTTTACAGGTTGCTCAGTTTGGATTTGCTACCTCTGGGTTTCTTTGTGACTCACCTTGTCCCATACCGCTGTGGCGTTGCAAGCTTTTAAGTTTTAAGCTTTTGATCAAAATGGCGTATAGACTGCTACAATTAAACCAAACAGAAGTCTTAGTTCTGGCCTGTGCTTAACAGGTTTGCTCCCCCACATCCTCCATCTGGAAGTCTTTGATCTTCTCTTGCTCTTTGAGAATTACTCAAGGGTTCAGTATCATAGTTTTGCAGTGGTTCTTTCGGTCCCGAGTGACTTCTGGTTGCAGCTGTTTCACTTACATGTCATTGCAGCTGAGTTTTGAGTCTAAGTGTAAATGTCCTTGATGAATTTTCATGGAATTTAATGGCTACTTCCCTTCATTTTCTGCTCCGTAGGCTGGTTGACTCCTTCCCCATTCAGTTTCTTTTGTCACTTTGTGCTGGGCTAAATAGATTTGTGTTACAGTATGGTGTAAGACATTGATTGTATATATGTATTCTTTTAATCAGCTCCTTTGTGAAGTATTTTGGACATAACAGAAAGACTAAGTGATATAATATTGAGAAAGTTGTTGTTAAGTAACTGTGAACATTAGGGTGATACTTAAGGTTCTTAGAACCACTGCATCTAGAGCAGTAAGATGTGTTTGGGTATGCAGACTCTGGTCTTCTGCTGGGCAAGCAGGTTGCTGAAGTGGGAAGGGTTATTTCCTTGTTACCTGAACAGAAAATGTTATCCCTGTCCTGAGGTGGTCTTTCCGTAATGATTGGGTTTATTGCATGCCTGTTTATGGAGTTCCCAGCTATGAAGCAGAAGCCTTTCTAACAGCAGCAGTCAGTGTGGCCGCAGCAGAGACCATGGAATGTACAGTCACTTCAGAACTAGACACTTCATTGACTGCTTGGATTTTAACTGTTCTTAGGGATCCTTTTTCTACATAAATCCTTGAGATAACTTTGTGTCTGGTAATACTGCATCTCAAAATACATGTTTAAACTGCATGATGCTGAAGGCAGAATGTTTTAAGTAGTGGAATTCTGTTAATTAAGCTCTTGTCTGGGAAAAGTCAGAATGAAGCTAGCCTTGATCACTGATATCGTGTTCATACAGTTATTCCCTGTCCCAGCCCCCAGGAACAACGCTCACAAATTTAACCACAAGACAGAGACTATACCCTGAAGGTACAAGTATAGGTGTAAGTGATGCACTAGATAAAAGCAGTCTGAGTTCCTACTTCAGTTTTTGACATTTGAATGCCAAGTTGATCAATGTTTTGTGGATATATTTAGGAGAAGGTGCGGCTATTACTCCTACTGGGAAATTATAAACAATGCAGAGTAATGCTTGAAGTAGAAATATCTTTTCAAAACATCTAATTTTCAGTGAAAAATACTGGATTCTTCTTAAGGCTGCTAGGGTCCTGCAGGTTTTGTTTTTTCTTGTGAAGTTCACTGCAGAGATTAGAATCTGGTGGCTGAAGAGGCAGCTAAGTGGAAGTGTTCACATAACCCTGTCAGTCATTTGCAGAGCTCCTCAGGTGTTCAGTAACAAACGCTGGTGTAGTCGAGCATAAAATGGCAACCTGAGCTCAGGAACTGGCTCCAGAGGCCTCAGGAGCTGAGCAAGGATGTGTCGTGTTCCTGGGCTGCCAAGGGGATTTCCTCAGCTGCTTTGCAGAGAGGTGGTTTCTCTTCGAGTCACAGGTGATGGGTGGTGGTTTCCTGGTGGGGTGAGTGGAAAGCCATTCCCTCCCTGAGACTGGAGTGCAGAGATCAGTAAGACCAAGCGAAGTTTACCATGAGGAAGAATTGCCGGTGTTTTACGTTTGATGATAAACCAGCTGTTGCAGTGCAGATGGTACATACTGCTCCTTACCAGGGGATATCCTGGTGTAACTGCAAGGGCAGGGAGCTTGGGACAGAATCTGCTAACAAGAGCTGCTGGGGTGTAAGGAGAAGGATAAACCTCATCAGTTCTCATTGTGTTGATGGGGAATATCCTGGGGCAACATTCTCACCTTTTGTAGTTACCCAGGCTGAGCTAGGTTGAAATGTCTGAATCTGAAGCTTCTGAAAAAAATGCTTTCGAGAATTCAGCCAAGTCTCTTTCCAAACCACCACTGTCTCGAAGTGGACAGTGTTTTCCTAGTCACCTTTTACCATTGGTATGCTTGGAGTGAGAAGCAAACTATTCTCCTTAATGTCATGATTTACCATGTTCTCAGCTGATTTCAGTTTGAGTTTCGCTTTGCTGGAGTGGAGACCAAGATGAAAGAGAGTTTCTTCTGGTGTTGGATCTAATGCTCTCACTGATTTCAGTGCTTCAGCATAATGTACTGGTTAATTCTTTAAGGCTCTTTTTACATTTCTACTGACATCTGAGGATTTCTTGCTGCAAGTGCCAATCCTTATTTTCTTCCTTTTGAAATCACATCATCTTGGCTAGGTGAGAACTGAGACTTGCTATGAAAGGCAGTGATTGTCTTTTCCCTGTCCATCTTCTGTGTTTGATCATGTGAATATGCAATAAAGCTTCTCTTTTACTGGAATGCCTCAGAATTGTTATCTAGAGGAAAATGGAAAGAGTAGCATCTTACTGGTTTTTCCCTGTTTTGATGATGATCTTCACTTATGTTTTCCTCTGCAGATGGCGTGTCAGAAGTTTGCATAATTGCTAATATGTGTCCTGTGTCTCTGAAATGCTTAAATATGGGTTGATTTTCACTTTGTCTAGAGTGACAGCCTTTCCTTTGCCTATTTTCTCCATGGTCTCCAGAATCTGGAAGTTTCTGCTGTTCCTTTTTTTGTTTGTTTGTTTACTTTCTTTTTTCTTTTTTAAACTGACACTAAGACAGGCAAATTCTTTGTCCACAGTTTATTTGCTTTCGAGCAGTATTTAATTCTATTTGTTGCTGTGCATATGTGGAAAGAAATGGACCTCTCCCCAGGGAAAGTTCAGTGACTGTAAACAGTAAAGAAGTCTTTAGCTTAGATAAGGGATTAAAAAGAGCAAGTGTAATTAAGTCATGTCCAGATTGGGTACTGAGGCACACAAAGAATGACGAGCTCAAATTTATCTAGTAAGATCAATTAATTTATGAATTAACTTTAATTATTTCTGCTTTGTTATTAAACTTTTAGACCATGTTTAAGGAAAAGTGAATGCATTGGAGCAAATTCTTTACCTAATGTCTAAGAGAGATCCCGTGAACTATGTAATGGTTATTGCTGGAGGAAAATGGAGGAGAGTATTGCCAGCTGATTTCACTTTGTACCGTTACTCTGCACTGGTTTTGGAGGGGGTGGGCTGTTGTGCAGATGCTGCAGTGTTTTGCTCTTTCTTGCAGGGAGTTGATGGAACAGCATGGTGAATTCTCTCCAGTCTGTATTTACATGCGAGATGAGGTAAGGCAGCAAAGGCCTCTCAACTGTCAACCCTAAAAAATAAGAAAAAACTTAGCTCTACTTTCCAACCTGGAAAGTGTTTCTTTTGAACTTTCTTGAGAGAGGAAGTAGAAAAATGTTGGTCTTTTCAAAGCATGACGTGTCTGTGTGGAAAAAAGCTCTCTTGGAACAGAACCCTGGGACGTTGAGATCTCTGAGCCCATAAAATGAGCTCAATGACCTGTTTGTGTTTTTCTTTCCAACTTCTTTTAAAGCTTGAGTCAAAACAGTGGTTTCATTTTAATAAATATTTGCTTTTCTCTGTGTTTTGATCTTCTGCTATTAAAGTTTTGTTTAATATTTTGTATGTGCGTATTATGGAATTTGCTCTCCCTGGCTGTCCCCTTCACTTCCCACTGACCTCTGTGGACAGATTGTCTTTATTCTGGAACAGGTCATTGCAGGCAGATGAGAGGTGTATGTAAGGAAGGCGGCTGTCCTGCAGCTCTGAGGTGCTGCCTGTCGTTTAACTTCTGCCGTAAAAGTAATGCTTTGCTGCAGTTTGATCCCATTTGGGTGTGTGTATGGGACAAAAATACACGTAGGTCATCTTCCCTTGAGATCACTTAATAAGCTGTGAATGTGGTAAAACAGTATAGGTGAATACAGATTCAGGTCTGATTTAGAACTGTAGAAAGAATGAGTTTTGATCTGTTTCTGGTGCTGTGTGGTGCTTCTTTTGATACAGGCTTCTTTCTAGAAAGAGCACTATATGTGCTCTCCTGGGCAAGCAGTGGCCATAATTACTCTCCTTTGGTTTTGTTGCAGATATCAGGAAAAGATGCCCTGGAGAAGACAACACTGAAGTCACTTGGCCTGACTGGAGGCAGTGCCATTGTCAGGTTGGGAGGAACAAAGTTTGGCCTCGTTATTTTTCCTTTCCACTCTGGTGGTGAATTTATTTTGTTTCAAATACCAAAAAAAGGGGCAAAAAAATTTGAAAACTACAAACATTGTGGCATTCAGTAATTATTGCATTTGCCTGTTTATCTCAAACTGCTGCCCAGATGTGCTTCCCACAGCTGCAGATGCTGGCACTGACTAGTCATGTGCAGATTAAAAGAGCTTGTTTGTTTCTTTTCTTTTTTTTTTTTTCTTCTTTTTTTTTTTCTTCTGTGATTGGAACAGACAATTCAAAGTTAAAAGTCTTTCTGAGAGGGCAATCAGCTACCACTTCATTCTTCCCTGCTCTGGATCTCAGGCACTGAACTCCCAGCCCCTGCAGTTCCTTCTGTCTGTTGGAGGGTGAGGTGGGGACAGGGGCAACCTTTCTATGATCTCCTGGCCAGCTCCTTGCAGTATTTACAGAAGGCAGGAGTGATTAGAAGCTGTGCTTTACAACTGACTGCTGTTTTCCCCTGGAAGACAGTTTTCTTCTGGTGGAGCAGGTTCCTGTTCTGTTTTGTTGCACAACCCCCTGGTCCCCTACCCCTCCCTTCACAGCAACTGGAGGTTGTGCTCTGTGAGTGTCTGGAAGAAGCAAATTGTTAAATCAGGGGTGCATTTGAATCAGCTGTTGCCTTTGTGTCACGGTCACATTGAGAATGGGGAGGGCAATACTCTTAGAATTGTGATTTTATTTTTATTCCTGTTGGTGTCTTCTTAAAGAGTTGTCATGAAGAAACGCAGTTCATCTGGTCAGGAGGAAGCTGTGGGCGCCATGGTGCCTTGTAATGAGCCAACAGTGAGGCCACGCTCTATGGAGGGAGCAGAGGATGTGCTCCTACCTCAAGCAACCACATTCCCAAAGGACTTGGACCACAGGGATGTGGCCATGTCTTTAAACAGCAGCACACACAAGCAAGACTCGACTAAAGAAACTCATGCTAGCTTGGAGGAACTGTGGCCTTCCTCAGAGCCCGAACATACCCCATTTGTTCCTTTTTTTGGAGATGGAGAGCGTCTGGGGGATTCTTCTGTAGCTACACCATCCTTTGGGTTAGATATGCCATCTTCAAAGATGCCAACAACTTTTTCCAGCCCTGGAGGCCCTTCTAAGCCAAAGAAGTCTAAGAACAGCCAAGAATTTCAAAAGGAGCGAGAACAGGTAAGGGAATACGTGTTTGCAGTTTGGGCAATGAGGGCTTTTCTTTATCCTGCCTTGCCTGAGGCTGAGCTCCCATGAGGAAAAAGATGTTTCCAGATTTAAGCCTTTTTTCCCCATGTCATAGGGTTAGGTACCTTGGTGACATACAGTTCTGCCTGAGTTCAGTAAGGAAGTAGGAAATAGGAAGGATGTGAGCTTAAGAATTTGCTGTCCAGAGGCAAGCAAAACTTTAAACCTTTAGGTGTCCTTGATGAGTGGTTCAAATAGAAACAACACAGCTGCGTTAAATCACAGTCCAGGAGAGCCTACACCTCTGTGCCTCGAATTTCATGCAGATTTCATGAACCAACGCCCACTTTGTCGCCTGAGCCCTAGGTACTTGTTTGTCTCTTCAAATCTGATGTGTAGTTTTGCTAAAGATGAGCAGAGTTTGGTCTTCGATTTAATTTTCTTAATATTGCAGATGAAGCAGAAACCTTCCATCCTTTTCCTTCTGTATTTCTGCTTGCTTATAGAAGTGTTTTCTGTCTTGATCTAAAATATCCTGCTTCTTAAATGTTAAGTCTACCTCTCTTTAACCCCTTTCCTAGAAAGACGAATTGCACGTGTCTCTGTTGTTGATGTCTCTGAAGTAAAACTGTGTTTGTGAAAACTGAAAATGCTTGAGCCCATGTAGAGATACCAGAACTGATGGCTGAAGAGTGCTGTGATGCCATCCCAGGGTGACCTGGGAATGATGTGAGGTGTGCTTTCTGTAGGGCAGCTGTATGGAATTGAATGCCTTCAGCAAGGTTGGGTATGTCTGGAAAGCAGCTTAAAATTAAGCACAGGAGTCATTCAGTTAATAACTTACTCCTCATTATTGTGCACTATGAGTTTCACATTCTGGATTCTCAGTGACCAGTTCTTTCCTTGCTCCTTCACTGCACACATCGTTCCTGTAGCTGCTTTCGTCTTCAGAGATCCCCTTCCTTGTTTCTGCCTCTTTGGTACCCTGTAGAGTTAGAGGTTTGAATTCTTCTCTGGTTCTGATCCAGCCAGGATCGAATAGTGAAAAACTATAAATAGAAATAAAGGATGCATGGGGAGCTTCAAAGGGAGGTCAGTCCAGGAGGAATTTAGCAAGACTGTGGATGTTTTCTTGTTGATGTAGAGACTCTACCTTGGTTGACTTCTTTGTGGTTGCAGTTCATTCTTGATGAGTTCTGAATTGTTTAGGAACAGAAACCAGACCCTGGAAGGACTCTGGAGCAGTTATGAATTGCACAAGTAACAGAAAGAGGCCTTGCCAACCCAGTGGTGAATATTTCGGTATATTAGAAACATGTTTGGGTCCGTCTAAGCAGTGTTATTTCACATTTTAGAATAGACCCTGAGCTTGGAAAACTAAACAGTGGGCTGGGTGACTTGTCCAGTCTCACGTGTTGCTTGTTTCAGTTGCACTCTCACCTATGAGCGATTTGTAAAGGAGGAGTTTCCGTTGTGTCTGGGAGGGGAGGGAGCAGTGTCAGGGTTTGTGGTGGTATCCTTCACCAGTCCTGTTGCCCATGCTTCTCTGCACGCTGGCTGGAGGGGCAGAACTCCCTCCATCATTTCACTGACTTCACAGCCTGACGTGGAGCTGTGGTGTTGGGCACGGGCTGAGTGCTGGTGGTTGAAGGACTCTGATGAACTGGTATCTTTCTCAGAATCGTAGTCCAGTTCAAACCACTCGGAGGCACTTCTGGAGCCAGCCGCCCTTCCAGTCTGAAAACAGCTTTGGGAGCAGCTGCAGATTCTGTTGGGGGGGTTCTGTCCTTGTGTTAAACAGCATGTGATTTTGACGGCTGCTTTCAAGCCCTTTGATCTCTGGTGCTTTTGCTGCTGATTGATTACATTTTGTTCCCTCCTCCATTCCTGCCATCCTCTGCTCTCCTTACTCTCAGCGGCAACAGCCAAGCAGGGCAAGCCACATGGCATCTGCTTTTTGTCCCTTTTCAGTCCTGAGGAAAAAACCCAAAACAAAACAAATTATTTTTAAACATCAAAGGTCCATTTTTATAAAGGAATCTTCCCATTAATGCTTGCCTGTGTGTGGTTTTTGAAGCTGAAGAGAGAGGCTGGATAAAATCTGTGCCGGCGTCCCTTCGTTTCTTGGGCTAAAGATGGTTTACAGACAGCTGCGTGCTGACTTTGATGTCAGAACGTTAATTATTAGAAAGTAACTTTACACCAGATTCCCCACGAGATTAGGGCTCCCAGAGGTGGTGGGGAGGAAGTGGGTCACTGGGGAGAGCTTGCTGCTGTGGAAAGCACTATAGCCACTACTTCACCCAAAATGAAATAAAAGTTTTCCTCAGCTTACCTGCTTCCTTGGGTCCAGAGTGGTGACTACAGTGAATTGCATTCTTCCTAACACCTGGTTTTGTCATGTAGACTGCACTTACATAGACACTGCTGTGAACGTGTGGCTTCAGCCTCACTGGAAAGGACCTGACATCTCAGCTTTGGTAGAAGTATAGACTTTGAAGAAGGAAGTTGCCAAACCTTAATGCAGCATCTTTGGCTCTTGGAAGAGATCTTTGACAGAAATAGAACAGCAAAGTGCACAGCTTGCTTTCTTCCAGGTTACATAATGGAAGGTAGAACATCCATGTGGTGGCCATTTATTGTTACTGGAAATGCTCACCTTTTGTTACAGTTGCAGAAAACATTGGCTTTGCAGTGGGCTGGGAAGTGGCTTGGTGTTCGTGGAGCCTCTTTTGTAATCGTTTGTGGGAAGTTAGTTTTTGGATTCCGTCTGCACTTCAGGACTTTTGGAGCCCACAGCAAGGCAGAGGAGTGAACACTTAGGACTGGAATATGTCTGCCCTCTGCCATGTCATCATTCTCTGTGCCTTGGTGGCAGTCTTTAGCTGTCACCATGGTTTGAACAAGGGTTGGCCTTTTCCCTGTGGAAACCTGCTGCTGTTGGGATTTGCTAAAGTGCTTGTTAGAGCCATTACTAAACAGTAACTTTAGGATTTGTTAATGGAGATTTTGGGAGTTCTCTCCATCATATCCTAGCACCCTTCACAACGTACCATAGGATATGTCTCTTCAGTCTTTTGAGTTTGGGGTTTTTTTGGGAAGAAGTCCAGTTTCAGGAGGTGTTTAGAATGAAATGAAACTTGAACCTGTTTAAGGAGATTAAAGTATACCTGGTTATTGGGGAGGCCCGATTAATTCTCTGGCCTCTGATGTAGATGTGCCCTCACTGGATCATGGGACAGCAAGGCTCCTTCCTAGAGGGTGGTCCTGGGCGCTTGGGGTCCCTTCTGCAGCACTGGGCACCTCCCCCTCCCTGGGCCCCGGGAAAGCTGCAATCAGGCTCCTTCACCCGCTGGTTAGGGCTGACCCTGCTCAACTTTCTAAAAGTAGCCAAGGGTCCCACCCACACAACCTCGCTCTTTTAATTTCTCAAATTACCCTTTAGTGCCCACAAGTAGAGTGAACATTGCCTTGTAATTTGTGTTGTGCTTTTGACAATTGAGAAGACTCCTGTTCCCAAGGGGCCTGGGGGAAGGGAGACTGGATGGAGGGAGGAGTGTTAATTAGGATTGGAAAGAGTGTATGAGGGAATGAGGGGAGAAGAAATGGGCAGTGGGTTCATTCACAGAGCCTACAGCCGTGTTAGGCTGAAAACTGACTGGGAAGAAATGCTGAACTAACTACCAAAGTTTTTGTTCCTCCGGGCCTCTTCAGCCACGGGCTGTGTCCTCCCTTCATCTCCTGTAGCCTTCAGTGTGCTGTTCTGTATGTTTGTGCCTTTAAACCGTTTTGGAATTTAGAAAGCTTGACTTGTGTGAGAGCCAGGAGGTGTAACTGCCTCTTATGTGCTTGACTCTGGTCATAGTTTGTATTCACACACAGACACAGCTGCTGCTTTGGGCGTAAGAGAGAGCAGCAAGCACATAACCTTTCCTGGAGAGGGATCCATAGTGTCCTGCTGCCTGCAGAGATGGCAAATAGGACACCTTGGTCTAAGTGGCTGGGGCTTTGATTTAGGTTTTTTTGGTGTTGTGGGTCTTGGTGTTGGTTTTTTTTTTTTTTTTTTATTTTGTTTTTTTCATAACTGCAGCCACAGTCCTAGGCCAGGCCATAGTTTTGCTGGAAGGTTTGCCATTGTGACACCCAGCTCTAGGCTCTGGAGGCAGGGGAGCAGGCAGCCAGGCTGCCTGTACCCTGCTGGGCAGGGGAGAGGGGTGTCTGTGCGGCATGGATCCTCTGGGCTGGAGGGAAAGTTGCCAGTATTAAGTACCTTTATTGCAGCTGATGCCTACAGAGAACTGCTCCCCTCTCATCGGTGTGCTCTGGCTGCACCAAAGGCTGAACTCCGTGCAAAGTACTTTGTAAGTGCAAAATGAAAGGAGTTTTCACTGTTTAAGGGACCTTTCTGCACAGCAGACACCAGGATAAAAATTTGAAAGGTGTGCAGTGGATCCGTGCAGTGGTTTAGTTCAGAGAGCCAAACAGGTCAAAAACTATCTTACCAAAGCAAAGGATTGTTCTCTAGAGTAAGGAGAAAAGGAGTGGGCCCTGGCTCTGTGGCAAGAGAATGTGAAGCAAAGAGAACACAAGACACAATGCAAGCCAGGAGTGCGTGGTGGATGAAAAAGCTTCTGAGGGCACTCTAGTCTGTGGAATGAAGGATAGCACCTGTGTAAGTTGTGTGCTGCCTGTAGAGTGGCAAGGAAATGGTTACATACTGAAAGAGGTTTGGAGTAGAGCAGAGAGGTCAGGTAGGGTTTTGGGATAGTCATTTCTGAGTGCTTGTAACTTGCTAGAAGTGTGGTTCGGCCACAAAGTACCGTTGTATTGTAGGTGAAGAGGCACTCCCTGAAAAGGAGTTCTCTCTCCTCACCTTAGGTGACTGCTGAGGTTATTACCCTGAGTTTCCTGTACTGACAGTGGAGAGCAGCCAGCTACTCACCTGGCAATAGAGATCCCTGCTGCTGTTGGGAGGGGGATTGTGCCCAGAGCTGTATCAGCTGTAAAGAATGACAACACTGACAACCTCTCTATCTGTCTGATCTGAGTGCCAGGAATTCCACACTAGTGATTGTATTTCAGTTTGCAAATACAGTCCTGTTACTCTTTTTCAGGAACCTTATAGGATAAGCAAAACAGTGCATTTTAAACTAATTGAAGCTCATTTTTATTCTGTAGCTTGTAGAACGAGAGCCCCTTGTGTGTCACTTAGACCTGCTGGAACAACTTCCTGATGGCCCAGAAGAGCTTCCTGATGAATTCTTTGAAGTCACGGTGGATGATGTACGGAAACGTTTGGCACAGCTGCAGAGTGAGAGGCAAGTTCCCTTTCTGTTGTGAGGGAGATTGTGCCGTGTCCTGTTGTTGAGCAGAGTAACAGTGACCAGCAGAGCTTGTTGCATTTTTGGCCAGTAAGAAAGACCCTGTATTTTAGGTAACAGAATTAACCATTTATTAGACCTCATCAGGAGACCAACTTTGAGACATTACCTAAAAAGAAATAAAGCAAAATCAGACTTAGCCGCAAATCAAGACCTGAAAATATTTGGAACAGAAACATACACACAGAGGAAGTATAGAAAGCTGACTAACTACATATCTCACTGTTCAAGTAGCTTGCTTTCAAATATTCATGGTTTTACTTTATTGAACTCCAGTTTGATAAAAACTCAGATTAAGATAAACTGGCCTTCCAGTCACAGCAGCATTTTGCCATCTGTATGTTCCTTAAAGAAATTAATTTCAGAAATGTATTTAAAGTGGGTCATAGCATTCCTTTAAACATTACAATAATTCTCCAAGACTTTGAGCAGTCTTCTTTACACTGTAACCTGGTCTGAGTTGAACTCTTTACTTGGAGCTGACATTTTTTCCCACAGGCCACTGAAATCCACATGAGTATATAGATTGACCTGAAAATTGCTCTGCTGCTTGTGGGTCTGGAGTATTTAGTGGTGCAAATTTAGAGTCAATTTGGTTGGGGGTTACTGGAATACAGGCCCCTCAAAAAAGACCTAATTTTCAAATGTGCTGATGCTTGTAATCCCTTTTCCCCTTACAGCCAGCGATAAAAATAAAGGCAAGTTACTCACTGGTTATTCAGAATTAAGTGCAAAGAGAAGGGACTGAAGCTGAACATGGGATCTGTTGGGTCTAAGCTGATTTCCTTACTTAGGGGAAAATATGTAATTATTTTCTTAAAGTTAGTTTCATCTTAAATGGAGGTAGACTTTTATTTTGCACCCACTATTTCTTTTAGACACCAGTCTACATGCCAGTTCTTGAAGGATCTTCTTGAATGAAACTTCTCATTTTTATTTTGTTTCCCTGTTGCTAAGTAATACTTATTAATTTCTTGTGCCAGTATTGTTTTTTTAACTTCAGTAGCTTTTCTCCCTCCTTGGAATAATCATGTCCAACCTTAGTCTCTGCTTTATTGGATTAATCTCTTCTTGAGTAGTCTAAACAAACTTTCCCCTCCTCTTCTTAAGATCTTTTCTGGCAGCTGTTGTGGTGAACTTATTTTCAAACTTGTACAATAAAAGTAATTTTATATGGTATTGGTGCTGACGCTCGATAGTTTCATATATGAGATTTTGGGATAAGAACCACAGGAGATGGGGAAAATGCTATGAGAGATGCGTGGAACAGTTGAGCAGTTCTCATCAGCCCTGCTTGGACCTTAAGGATACTACCTTAATAAAGTAAAAATACGTCATAAAATTACAGAAGTGGCAACTTGTCTTCTTCCCATGTCTCTAGGAAACGCCTGGAAGAGGCTCCACTAATGACAAAGTCTTTGAGGGAATCTCAGCTGAAGGAGAAGTTGGAGCGTTACCCAAAGGTAATATATGTTCTTTTTCCCTCTCTGGCTAGTCCAGACTTGAAGTTTGAGTAACTTTGGGATTCAGTTGTGATCAACATGCTCTTAAGCTGCTTATAGGAAGACTTTTCAAATTCCTGTCCATGTTAATTGTTTGTGGGACTTGCATAACAGTTGTGCCCTGTGAAGTCAGCTATCCTGTAATCACGTGGTTGAGTGACAGGCAGTATAACTCCTTCTGTTCTGTTCCAGATGTTTCAAAATCTTTCTGTTGTGCACACAACAGTCTGTATGACTGAGTTTTCCTACCTGCCTCTCCTCTGTAGACATTTTGTTAGTGTCTCATTGAAAGTTAAATGATTTGATGTTACAAGTGGATTTATTTTACTCTGTAAATATGATCCTAATGCAGTTCTCAAGTTAAGTGCTTTCTGACCAATGCTGAAAATAGAATGGTCTGAGTTACTTCAGAGGTATGGCAAGAGGATTCCTGCTGCTGTGGACACTTTAGAATGCTGGTACACTGTCTGTCCCTGTCCAAGAGGGACTGTGTTGTTTATGCATTGTTTAGCACAGGGAGCTCCTGATGTCTGAGTGCTGCTTCATCGTACATCACAGTACTTTGATAGATGAGCTCTCTTGCCCCCTCTGAAAGCCAGACGGCCCCTGTTCCCTGAGAAGCTGCACAGCACTGTTAGCCATTAAAAAAAAAAACAAACCCAGAACCACCAACTTGCAGATTCTAAGCCAAGGACAGGTGTTACAGAGCAGCGATAAACCACTGACCCAACGTGCTTTGCCTCTGGTTTAGGTGGTGCTGAGAGTTCATTTTCCAGACCGCCATGTCCTGCAGGGGTTCTTCCATCCCAGTGAAACCGGTAAGACCAATCACCCCCTCAGCCCGTGCAGATGCAGCTCATGGCTCTTACCATGACAGGAGAGAGGGCTTTGGACAGGTATTTCTGCTGTCCAGGGAAGTAAAACAGCTCTGAAAAAGCAGCAGTAGGCAGTTACACTGTTCTTGCAGGGTCCCCGAATGGAATAAGAACAGCGTTTGGGCTAATTCACTTAGCTAAGGGCTACTTGATGGAGACTGTCTAGCTGCTTGATGACAAAATATTTGTGCTTAGGAAGCCCTCTCACTTGCTATCCGCCTTGTTTGTGTCCAAATGATGTGTTTTTGGGATGCATTTCTACACTTCCTCTGTGTTAATGTTTTGGGGGAAAAACAACACCCCCTTCCCCAATCCAAAACAAGCCCTAAAAAGTGGAAAGAAGAAAAAGAAGCTTTAGCTACTCTACTAAGAGGGTTGAACCTTTCTGGCTCTGTCAGTTCACAAAAGACGATCAGGCCATGCACCAAGTAGCTCTTACTGTTATTACTGGAGATCTTATTCTCAGCTGGCAGCCATGGTTACCTGCACAAGTTTTTTGATAATTTTCTATGGAACACGAAGTAATAAGTAGCTACCAGTCTCACTTGGCTGCTCTCTGTAGCTACTGTTGGATTTTCTAGATTTTGATAAGGGACCAGCATGTCCAAGTGGTTTGGTTGGTTTGTTTGCTTGTTTTCTCTACAAGAGATTTGTAATAGCAACAGTGTACTTTGGAGGAAAAGTCAATCTCCATACATTATAGAGGGCAGTTCTGCTGTTACAGTTCAGCCTTTTTGCCCAATATTTGAAGAAACAAGTGTAATTCAGCAAACCTCTCTCTCCTTTTTCCACAGTTGGCATTTTGAGAGACTTTGTAAGAAGCCACCTTGCCGATCCAGAGTTGCCATTTTACTTGTGTGAGTGCTGTTGGTAATATTTGGCCTTACTTTACAAAGCCTGTTCCTAGCTGTGGTATGTATGGGATCTGTTGATGCCTGAGATATGACCGGGGGAGGAATGCCTTCCCTAAACACAGCCTCACAGTGCAAAGAAGGTATAAGATACTCCCTTAGCCATGTTATGCTTCTGCCTATGAAGCAGCCTCTGTGGGCATATGAACATGTCACCCCTTCAGGGAGTGGGGATCCTTTCCATGCCTGCTGTATTTGCTGTTCTGGTTGCTGGGTGGTCCTGCTTTGTAACTTGTTTTTTAACTTCAGTTGTTGCACCTCCCAGAATCATCTTGAACGATGAAAGTCTGACACTGTTTGAGGTAAGGACTCACACATGTGCTCTGTGATTCTCTCTGGCTTGTGCTCCCCTTAACCCTGCCGTAGGCTGTAGTTACTTTCAAAAGAAGCTGTGTAATGGTACGATCCCTGTAGGCTTCTGCTCAGCCAAGGCTAATGGAACAGGTGTTTTGGAGCACAAACTCTTCACCAGAAGAGGTCCACCTTGTGCAGCAATAGGCACGGGCACATTGGGGCAGGGGTGGGGGAGTTGCATTGTTTTGTACACACACTCTGTACCACGCGGAGTCGGAGCTGTATTTAACCTGGAATTGTTGCAAGAGCTTAGCTGAGTTTGCTCTATCTGTAGCTGGGCTAGGAGAGTAAGAGATGTGAGACTGGATGTGGAAAGGGAACTATTTTCGATTTCTACAGCAGGAGCTAGAGGCCACAGTAGACAAAAATCTGACCTTTTTGAAATCACTGTGTGAGAATTTATTTCAAGTCAGTGTGTACATTGAGGAATATATGGTCTCTGTGTGTAATTTTTCTCAAGGGCTGAAATACAGTTTTTCAAATTCAGATTCCTGGAGATTTTTTACAAGCGTCAGATAAATTGGCCTTGAAATCTCTGGCCAGAGACTCTTGGCTGTGTAAATCACAGGTGTTAAGAGAGTGATTGAGTGATTTTGCCAGTGACTTTGCCCCAGACTCACCCTGTTTAAAATGTTCTGTCATTCAAAATTCCGTAGACCTTTCAGACTGATGCATCAGAGATCCTGCAGAATAAAGGCTCATGCAGTTGCAGTGAGAATTCTTGCTTGATGCCCCCGAGGGAGCAGAAGGGCTGGTGGGGAGAGGGATAGAGAGAGAGACTTTTCAGGCAGCATGGTGAATTAGGTAGGGATTAGCCTCTGAAGTTGTTTGCAGTGGAGCTTTCCAAGTTCCACAACTTCCTGACCAGGCCATGTGGAAGAGATACACGTGTAGCTGCTTTTAGAGGATTGAATGTTCAAGCCTGTATCTGCCTCCTGTTCATCCGGCCCCTGGTGCTGGCTATGGGTGCCTTGTTAGCTTTGATCTGTCTTCTAAAAAGTTCAAAATCCTCTGCTTACCTCTATTTACCCCTTCCCTGCCTCCCCCACCCTGCAGTACTGTTCTTTTATTTTCTCCTTCTCAGTGCACATCTCATGTTTCTCTGGATGTCTTCTGAAACATGACTTGTGCAGTGAAACACCACAGGAATAATTACACCTTCTTGTCTTTGAAATAAGAAACTTTATGGCAGGAATTTTATTTAATTTGCTGTGTTAAAGCCTTTGTTCCGTACCTGGCACCGTTACTGGTGCTTGTTATATATGTGGCAATTTCCCAGTTTCTTAATTGTGACATTTACCATGGAATTCATTCCTTGTGGCAGCTCCCTGAAACAAAAAATGTGTTAAATTAGTGCTCTGTAAAGACTTGGAGTTGCCTTACAGCCCAGTCTTAGAGACTTCATTAGAAATCACAACTTGGTGAAGAACCTGGTTGATTTTAGTGTCAGACATCTCCAGGTATAGTGACTTTCCTTGGACTGCAGTGCTTGCTGTGGCACATGGCAAAAGTGCGAAGCCTTGACGTTGGTACACAGCTGGGACTGTTAGAGATACTGTGCTTGAAAGCTGAAAATTATTTGCAAATTGCCTGTTTTAAGGAAGGATATTTTCTCATTTCTCATATCCTCTCTCTCAATATGAAAGATGAGTAGTGTCCAACTAAGATAAAGGGTATCAAATCCAAAGTTGATTTTATTTATGCCACATACGATCACAGTACAGTCAAACTAATTAGGAAGTGGTTACATTGAGAATTTGAGTATAATTAAAGTAAAAATGGAGTTTTTAAGCACAGCCTTAACTACACAAAATCATTACAATTACTTGCAAAATGTGGAATGCAAGTAAAATCTCATGCTTAGAATATTATTTAGGGATTGTAACATGACACTATGAAGAGATTATTATCACATTAGTTAACGGTTGCATGACTTGGCATTTTTGGCTTACCCAGCTGGCTCAGCATAGGTAAATGTGATGCATGTACAGGGACAATAATTAGAGCGTCGTACATGGCTCAGTGAGCTCTTGTGTTGATTGTTACCTTGTGGAGCAAAGTCTTAAGGTGATGAAATCATCAGCTCATTACTGAATAGTAATCACACTAAGACAAAAGTCTCCTTCCCAAAAGCAAAGTATTCAGAACGAAATAGAGAGCATCACTATGTTTAGACCCAGGTTTTGCGTGAATAACTTATGCGGAACTGGTCTTGCATCTTCAAAAGTAAGTGGTGAAGCTGCAGAGGAGGACAGTGAGGATCATCAGAGGTCTGCGATGTCTCCTGTCCAAAGAAAGACTGAGTAGGCTAGAACTGGTCAGTCTGCAAAAGATGTGACTGGAAAAGGAGTAACATGCCAAGGAAAAGCTGGAATGGATTGAGTTCTTGCTCTCTCGTATGAGTGAGTGGCATCGAGGGAGGAGGAGTTGGAGTAGATGGAAGAAGGCAGTTGTTCATGCATCAGAAAACTGAAGCATAGAATTGCTTGTCATAGGGCGCTATATCCTAGAAGTATATACTGGTTTGAGAGAAATTTGGACAAGTTCAAGGAAGATATTTAGTGAGACTGTCTTAATATATAGAAACCATCTCAGGAAGCTTCTGAATTGAAAATCATTGCTAGCTAATATTATTAGGGGAAAGTATCACATACATAACCAAGGATACTCTTCTCTGTGCATCTGGTTGTTGTTCACTGCTTCTGTATGTTTATCAATGTTTTACTTGGATGAAGCATCAAACCGGAAAGAATCAATTCCTGCTGAGATCTTGTCATGCCATTCAGTTTGGATTGGGTTATTCTGGGTGAAGCTTTACTCCTGTTGCCGGTGTAAATCCTTTTTCCTCTCTAACTTTCACCATGTCAGTGCAGGCCCTGTGCCACAATGTCTCCTGCTCAGGTAGGCTTTCCCTTCTGCTGGAATCCGGGTGCCTGGCAGGGGCTGAAGGGCCTTTCTTCTCTGGGTGGAAATGAGTGCAGAAATCACTCTGTCTGTTGTGTCCGTGCCCACTGTGTCACTGTTGGATGCCCTGTTTAGAGGTGTCTGTTCCCAGTTGGGCTGCACTGCCTGAGCCTCAGGGCTCTTGTTAAAAAAAACCCTGACCTGGACCAGGAGAGAGAGAGGGGATGTTTGTGGTACTGGGGCAGTGCTGGGGATGGGGACCTGCTCACTGTTTCTCACCTGATGTTACGGCCTTCCAAGCTGAGAAATCTTCAGTGTGGGAAGAGGTTTGCATGGGCCAGAGTCCCCGCAGGGCTGGGGACTGCAGAGAAGCCTGCAGGGCCTGGCCTTGCCCCACATGGGGTTGGGCTCTCTGCAGAGGGGTTTGGTGGAGACCTTTCCCCTTTCAGGCATCCTGTGATCCATGGAAGGGAAACGTTTTGAACTTTAGTCAGAGCTTCCCTTCTGTTCCCCGATCTGGAAGGAGGGAGATGAAAAGAAAAAGCTACTCTGTAAAGATAGTAGGCAGATGCTTTGTAAAATATGTGGCTTTGGGGCTGGGAGAAGAGAAGCTTTTGCTCTAAGGTAACCTGACAGTACCCAGCACCCCTGTACTGAGAAAGCTTGTTCTGGAATAACAGTGTTATGGTATATAGGGTGCGAACGTGACTGAAGTGCTGTGGAGTGTGCAGTTCTTCCAGACATCACAGGGAAAAGGGAGCCACGAGTAAAGTCACGGAACAGCTAATTGCTCAAGCTTTCGTTGTATTTGGAGGATGTGTGAAAGGTTCAGGAGGAAGTTTGTCTTTATCGGTAGCACATCTCTTTAAGGTTGTCAGGTTGTATCATGTAACTGCCAAAATTTGCTGCTTAAGTTAGCAGTGGGCTATCCTCCACTCTACAGACTACCTTGGTACTGTCTGTAATGAAGAGTGGATGGTGTCTGAGGCAGTAATGTGAGCACATTTGAGCATTCAGACACTTATAAATTACTGAAGTTTGTGCCAAAGCCAGTAACAGGAGTGACTGCAGATGGTGGAGTACCTTATTATCAATACTTCTGCTCTCTCCACCCTCTTGTTCCATTCAAGCTGATAAGATTGGCACCATATTCATTAAATTTGATCACTTACAGTGAAGGGAGAACCTTTATGCTGGAAGCAAAACCAAGAAGAAAGACAAATGTTGTCGACTTGTTTGCCAAGATACTTGGATTCAAAGAACTGTCTGAAGTGAATTCTCCCAAAATCTGTGTGTATTTACAGTATAGTGAACACACATATTGGCAGCAACATGAAGTTTTTGGAACCCATAAAGACTTCAAGGCATTGCTTTGATTTTTTTGTTGTTGCTGTTTTTGCTGGCTGCCTTCTTCTCATGTCCCTTGAAGTGTTTTATAATATTCTGCTCTCCAGAGCTGATCAACCACAGGCTTCCCTGTTGTAGCACTTGGCTTTGCATGCCTTATAGCTCTAGTGCCTTGTTTGTGTTTTTCTAGGCTGTCTGAGCTTTTCAAAGTTGCTTCTTAGCTTCTTTCTCCTCCCAGAAACAGGCACTTGTGTAGTGCGTATCTGGGGTGGGTTAGTGGAAAAAAAATCGTTGATTGCTGAGCTAATACTAGGAAAGAATTAGCAGACCACTGGAAAAGTCAAGGCAGCAGAGAGGGCAGGAGGCCATCTTCTGTCTTCAGAGGAGCTAAAGGAATCCACAGGCTTCCACATAAATATTTAGGTCTTCTAATCAGATCTTAGAGTGCACCGAATGTTTCCTCTGGCGCGTACCACGAGGCAGAAATCCAGACGAGCTGTTTGTTCCTTTCTTTGCCTTTGGTTCTGTTTCCATATCCTATTTGTTAATGCCACTTTGGGCAGTACATCTGGCATGCCTGTTCAGTGAAGCCAGCTACGGTCAGCGTGAAGCCTTCTCTATTGGCAAAAATCTGAAGGAATTTCAGAAAAAATTACTTCATCAGAGTTAAGTCTGTTAGAGGCACTTCCAGTGGCAG